TCGTTCATTCATTGTGAGTAACTGGGATGTGACTCTACTTCCCAGGGACAAACCAGCTCCAGTTTGTCTAGCCCTCAGCCTTGGGAAAGGTCAGGTTTGCAGCCCTACCGCAGAAAAGCGAGGGGACGCGCGCTCTGCTCCTCTGCAACCAGAGTGAGAATAAAGAGGCATTTACCATCCTGCCCAGAGCTCTCCAGATACTCCGTCAGGTCGCAGCCGAACGCGCTCGCGGCTCCCTTCCTCTTGAGTTTCTGCTTGGCTCCCTTGTTCTTCATGAGGTTAGTCCCAAAAGAGGTTTGTCCCCCTCCTTCCTTGCCCCCCTCCCCCCGGCCTCACTCTGGGCAGCAAAAACCTCGCTCTTCTCCTCAGACCACCGCCCGTGTCCCGCTCCCAGGGAGCAACATCGGGGGTCCCGTACGGCGTCCAGCTGGAGAAGTAAACATTAATCCCCACCAGATGTTGGGTTGCTCCAGTGGCAGGGGAAGGTCAGGGTGAGAGGAGGCTCCCCAGCCGGCAGCAGCAGCGATCATAGCCCAAGCCCGGAAGGGTTCTCATCAGAGGGAAGTGGGTGGTGGACGGATGCCCGCACTGGAGATGGCAAGTTGGGGCAGGCGACGGTGGGGGCTGGGGGAACGCCTTTTCCCTCAGTGCGGTCCCGGGACCCTCCACGGCCACCTTCTGGGTTTCGTCAGCTGCGCTGTCGCCACTTCCAGTAGAAAGAGTCCCAGTCCGGTCTTCCTTCTCTCAGCTTTCGGAGGAGACTGGAAGTTCAAACGGACTAATGAAAAGGGACCAGGGAAGAGTCTGCACAAGGCTCCTCTTTGGCTCCCCCCCCTTCCCCTCCTCCTGCCTTCGGACAGTTAGAGGAATGAGAAACCAGCTTCCTGTCCTGACTCCCGCTCGCTCACTCGCTCCTTTCCTCCGTTTTACAAATCCTAGGATTATCCAGCTCAAAAAAAATGCTGAAAGGAAGTTAGCTGAGGAGGGGGGCGGAGGACGGTTTTTGGCAGTAAAGTGCGTGTGTGTGTGTGTGTGCGCACAAGAGGCTGAGCGAAGGCGGGGAGGGGAGTTGGGGGACAGGGTTGGGGACAGGGGGAGGAAGAGGGAAAGCCTGTCCTGACAGTCGACAGATAACGGACTGCCTGAGAGGAAATCACTGCGAGCTGAGCCGAGCTGCAGCCTGCGCCGCGGTCAGGCGCTTCCTGAGCTACCGACGCTCGGCTCAGAAAAGGCCCGAGACTGGGAGCCGCTCCAGTAAATCTCTGCCTCTGCTCCTCGCGTCCTTCCTCGCAAGGCGCCTTCCTGCCCTCAAACATGGTTCTGCCACTTCAGGATTCACCTTCCTCTACCAAGGCTGAAGCTACTGAAGTGCAAGAAGGAGCCAGAAAATTGGGAAACTAAAAAGGGGGGAGGAGGGAAACCTTCAGCTCTCTCCTCGCTGGCAAGCAGAAACAGATGCTGTCCAGGCATCTGAGTTCACGTATTTTTGAGACAGCTCCCAAAGAAGGCTCCCCTTGACCAATGAAGGAGCTTAGAGATAAGGAACAAAAATCATTAACAAAAAGAAGGGACATAGGACAGGTCTGCTCTTGGGCCCTGAGTCTTCCTTCCCCCCCCCACCCCAACACTTTTCCAGCCTAACCTTCAGTACACGCCTATCTCTGCTCATAAGAGCAGTCACTTGCACTTACTCCACATATTTTATGCCAGAAATTTAGACCTCTTTACAGGGCTGATTATGCTGGTGGGCTGCATGCTTCACCTAGGGAGGCAAACTTCGCTCTGCTAAGGCTTCACTGCCCCCTCTTGCTCCATGCCCAACATAACTGTATAGGTCTGGGTGAAAAATAAACAAACAAATGAAAAACAGGAAATTGCAGCTTTTCACCACAGATCAGAACAAAGACGTGGAGACTAGTTTTGGTCTGGAGGAAAATTCCCCGGGAAACAGGGCAAAAGATTCCCTTAATCCACCTCCCTCCTCAACCCTGGGGTGAACACCCTCATGCAGAGAGAAACCCCATCTCTTCCCACAGACCTCTGGAAAACCATCACCTCACCCCTTTATTTTGACAAAGGGCCATTTTTCTCAGAAATCAAGACCCTGACTGTGATCTGACAGCTGCCAAAAGCCATTCAGGTTCTGTCTGTTGGTATGGTAACTTCCCCCCACCCCGAAGTGCTGGATGCTATCACTTCACATACAAGAAAAAACATTGAGACCCTTAGTGAAGGACCTTGAGCAGTTATAACTCCCTATTGTGCAGTTTATCACCATAATTATCATCATTATCCCCGTTTTACAGCTTGCTGGCTGAGGATCGAGGGGAAAATGATTCACAGAAGTGTGCCAGAGAGATGTCTGGCCTGCCGGCTCCCAGCCTCCTGCTCCCAGGCTACGGGGGGAAACGGAGCTCTCGCCACCAGACCAAGGGTTGTTCTCACGGACCTTCAGTGATCACAAAACACTTCAAACTTCCTTGAATTTATTATGGGCCTCTCACAGCACCTTGATGTCAAGTCGGCACGCGGGATCCCTCCCCGTACCGGCGTGCCGCCAAACCCATCGCGTGCTGCGGTGCATCCTGCCTGCCTGCAAAGGGGCAGGCTTCAAACAGTCGGACAGACAACAGGACGCTCAGACCTGGATGTTTAGATTAGATATCAGTAAGAAGTTCTCCCCAGAGAGGGTGGTGAGGCACTGGAGCAGGGTGCCCAGAGATGTTGTGGATGCCCCATCCCTGGAAGTGTTCAAGGCCAGGCTGGATGAGGCTTGGAGCAACCTGGTCTAGTGGAAGGTGTCCCTGCCCATGGCAGGGGGGTTGGAACTGGATGATCTTTAAGGTCCCTTCCAGCCCAAACCATTCTGTGATTCTATGATTCTATGATTCTATGATTTTATGTCTCACCAGGCTGATGCTGAGTATGATGTCATTTTGGACCTAGCTTATCTTTAAGGTCCCTTCCAACCCTAATGATTCTATGATTCTATGATTCTATGATTTTATGTCTCACCAGGCTGTCCTCCCGCTGCCTGGGCAGCTGTCTGCCTTCTGTAGGAAGAGAAAGCCCTCTCCTTGCCCACTCGGGGAGTAGGCACGTCCTCCTGCACATACCAGCCCTCTCTCGAGGGGCTGAGCCCCAGTACCAGACAGGGGCCTGGAACTGCTTCACCACCACGAGTAACCACAGCCCTCAACTCCTCTCTGCAGACACCTCTCTCCCTCCACAAAACAAAGCAGGATGTTTAAACTCGCCTTGGTCTCCTCCATCAACCTTCATCAGACAGCATGGGTAACAGGGTGCACAGCCCCTGCCTGTCGCCTCTGCCCGGTGACCCACTGCGCCACACTGCTGCCCTCACCTCCATACCCCTCCCACCTTAGACATGGTTCCCACCCTCCTCCTCCTCAAGCCTACCCAAACAGGATGTTTTCAATAGAGTGGCTTCTTTTTTTAAAAAAAAAAAAAGCAAACAAACAAAATCAGTGCATAAAATCAATCCCTGCAGGCATATGGCTTTCTCACACCGCCAGCAAGGACGCCATGCCCCTAGGAGCAGTGGGGAGTGCCCGGGCATGGCCGCCATGCAGCACAGCCCCCTCCCGCCTCCCTCGCGCAGCCCTACTCCAAGGGCTCCCAGTGGGTCAGCCCATCCCCCTCGCCCCTTGGCGTTTCTCACAGACCCGTAGGCATTTTCGGCTGAAGGCACCATCGCCCGGAGGTGGCTCTGTGTCGGGTCCCTGCAGCGGCTGAGGGAGGCGCCATCTTTGGCAGCCGCGGTGGTGGGTCCCGCAGGCCGATGAGCACCGCAGGGACCGAGCGCTGCCCTCTGATTTTTGGGTTTTCTGGGCGGCTGGGCTGCGCTGCTCTGACCCTGACTGGGCTGAGGGCAGCTGATGGCTGCCCAAGCCCAGGCCACAGGACCACCATCAGCCATTGCTGCTGGAGTGCTGGGGGGTGTGTGGGGGAGACTTCCACCCCCCTGACAAGAAAAAAAAAAATATTTGAGGCACAAATCCTGTGAAGAGGAGCTAGAAACAAAACAGAAAGGATTTCTACTTTATGCATAGCGGCTGTCTAGGGCATTGCAGTTCACTGCCCCGCTACCCCATGCCGGGGTACCCCATGGAGAGAAGAGGGAGCCAGAGGAAGGAACTGGCCTGCCAGGCTGAGGGAAAGAAGGTGTAAGGATCTCCAAGACTTCTCCTTGCAGGCAGGCTGGGCTGTAGGGATGGCTTTCCCTGTGCCAGGACGAGGGTCAGTGAGAGGACAGAGGGGAGGTCACTGCAGGATTGCCCGCAGACCTCAGGGCTGGGAGGAGGAGGAGGAGGTCAGGTAAGGTGAGCGGGAACCAAACAAGGGAGTCTTTACAAACAAAGCACTTCGTATCGGAGCCTGAAATCGGTGCTGAGCCAGGGGATTTTTCTGAAGGAAAAGGGCAATGTTGTCCATAGAAGAAAAAAATAGGAAGTCTGGATTTGCACAGCCCAGTTTCTGCAATAGTCAGGGTGAGCAGCAGGGTTAAGGCGTAAGTCAGTGTTCCTCCTGGAAAAGCTTCCACAGATGAGAACAGGCAAAGCTGGAGAGGAAAAGAGCTCAGGCCAGAAGTATGAAGAACAAAAAGGAGTTTAAAGCTGAAACAGCTGGAAAAAAAGGGGGAATTTCTCACCCTCCTAGAAAAAAAAGAAGAAAATAGTGAGTCTGCAGAATAAGAGCAACACCAAGCCAAGCCAGAGCTCTCACAGAAGCAATCTCTCCATAAGGGTTACTTCCTAGTCCCAGCCACGGTGCAAACAGCACGATAGCCAGCTGCCCCATGGTACTGCAGCCCAGATCAGGAAGCCATGGCGCACTGCACTTACTTTAATCCCTTCCCCTTGAACCTGTAAATATAGGTCAGGATTTGAAGTTAGTCACAAGGGCCTGCCTGTCAGAGAGGGCCACAGGTTCATGCAGGAAGGTGGGCCACCTTCCCATCCTGCTTCGCTGCTGATCTGTGATGCTTCGCCCTTCCGCTTGAGAGTGGGTATGGCAAGCCAGCATCTGTGTGTGAATGAATGTCGAACGGATAATGATTTTACAGCTCTCTCCATTCTCATAGAGAAGGTATCGGTGACCCCAGAGGCAGGCAGAGAGCCTGGGGAACAGCTTTGGCCATTAAGCCTAAGCATTTCTTCCCCTTCTGAGAGCCAGGGGCCGCGGCAGAGGCGTCACAGAGGCTATTTCTGGGCACCCATCTCTCCCCTCCCCGCTGCGTTTCCTTCATTGTGTT